CAGGAGGGGGTTGTGAGTTGGGGCAGGGAACTGGGGTGCAAGAAACGGATGCAGGATGGGGTGCTGTGTTTTGGGTTGAGATCTTGGGAAGGAGCAGGGGACTGGGGAGCAGGTTCATACCCCCAATCCACCCACTCTTTCAGTTATTTACAGCAGCTTTATAAAAAATTTAGGCTAAACATACAGCCAGAAGTATATAGTTTTGATTCAGATTATTAAAGTTTTTAAATGTTCATCATAATTTTATAATTAGGAGTTAGTCTCATAAGCACCCCATTGCATTAAACCCCTGGTTTGCAGTCACTTTACAAGTCTCTGCCATTGATTCCCTCAGCATGTCAGAATTTTGCCAATTCGACAGCTCTGTAATGGAATTCTCTCCTGTGTGGTTTTCCATTGGTAAATTTTAGCTTTTAAATCTAAATTATCAATCGTCTTCATTTTTTTACATAATCATTTGTGTTTTTAACTTTCTTGTGTTGACTTTGTTAAAGCTGTATTAAATATATCTACCATATATTTGAAAAAGTTTGTGCGTGTCTGTTCAAGAACAGTAAGAGCTAGGACCATCAAATTTGGTATGCAGCTTTCTTTTATTATAACTCAAAGCAAGGTAAGGGTTTGGTTGTGCCAGGAACATGAGATGTACATGGATTAGAATTGCTTTTCATAGAGCTATACAGGAAATAGAATTACCAGGAAGGTAAAAGGGGGCTGGCTGGGTGTGTCCCACTCCTATCCAGGACTATCCTAGCCCCGAGCCTCCCACTCCCCAGGTACTGTTTAGGGAGGGTGGAGAATCTCTTTTCCCCACCCCAAATTCATATGGAAACATTGCTGTCTTTTCCCTTTTGTCAATAAGTGAGGGGAAAGTTCAGTTTGCTGCATTCCTTATTCTGCCTGGAGAGCTCAGTGGGCAGACAAACCTGGACCTGCCTCAGCTAGGGGACAGGCACCTCTCCCCCGTTTGTGCCTGCTGAAATTACAGTGGCCATGGAGAGACACTTCTCACCTGGCTCCAAGCTGCTGCAGTGATAGAAGGCTTGGACAACCTGCATACTGAATCCCTCTTCCCCAGTCCACTCCAGAGAAATGATTCAAAGGAAGCATGCACATTTTCATTTTATCTTAAAAAAATTAATTGAGCTAAGGACTTTAGCAACACCAGGTAAAACTTCTAGTATGAATATAATGAAATCAACCAACCAGCCTCTTTTAGAATGTTCAACCAACATTAGAATTTCCATTTTGCCAAAAATTACTTCCATGGTTACGACTGTGATTATTTGAACAAATTACCCATTTAATGATATCATGTTTGATCTGGTTTGTCTTTCATTTTAAACTGCCACATTGTTGGGGTGGAGAAAGCAACCTCTTTCAATTAAAAATGAATTCAGAGGGTGCCATATTCCTTTACTTTTGCTACTCATTGTTAGAAGGCTATTTTAGGTTGTCCTGATATTTAGTAATGATGTATAGCACATTTAGAATGTAGGTAAATATAAATCAATATAGAATTGTCTTATAAATGGAAATTGATACATTTATATCCCCAACATCAAATTTACCAGTCTGGTGTTGAAGAACTACAATGTTGCTAGGTAGTCCCCTATTTTTAGGCAGCTCAGCTGGGAGTTTCCAGCAGAAGCCTAATAGTATGTTAGCACTTGAATTAACTTATAAAGTACTGAGAATCTTGAAGTTTCATTCTCTTGAGACTGCACTGAGGTTTTAGAGAGAAGTGAGGGATGGATAAAGGACTCTGGAAGCTCATAGAATTGGGGGACTTGTGAAAATATAGTTCCTCCTCCCAAATTGCCACAACTAAATAATTGACAGCTGAATTCTGCCTGATCCTCATGTGGTACAGTGGGAGGGAATAGAGTAAAGGAGCTTCTAACCTTTCTTGTGTAGTCTGTTTAATAGGCAGGAAGCATTTCAGTGGGAAGCTGCAAGATGTTTCTAATGCTGTTTCTGGAGTTGAGTGCCTTCAAGACACGCTCCAATGCAGCTCTGAGCCTAAATGGCAAAGCTGAACCCTGTGATTGCACAAGACCACTGTCTGGAAATATAAAACATATGAAACTGGAATGTATTGCTAATGTGTAGCTGGAATGTGTTCCTTCTTACCAATTTAGTTGGCTAAATACAGTTCTAAAGATCTAAATCAGCAACAGGTTTCTATGATTTTCTGTGCCACACAGACAGCAGAAGGCCAAGGATACTGACTGATACAGCAGGGTGACTGTAATCAACAGAAAGATAAGCTTGCTGCTGAAGTCCATAAAAACCAAAGCTCATATGTTGGGGAATTCTGTGCCAGTTCTAGAGCTATTTATTTAATTTTGAGGTTTATTATTTGATTTGTTTATTATTAAGGTTATTTGAAGAGGATTATAATGCTATGATTAAGGCTTAGTTAAAACCTCTATTCTCAAGCTATTTATAACTTGGAGAAAAAATGTTACTCAGCAGAAATTTGGCATACTGTGTCTCAGGGTGGGTAGTAAGTTCTTTTCTCTCTCTAAAATTTGCAAAACAACAACAACAACTCTGGCTGCTTTCTGTGCTTCATATGGCTACCACAGAACTTTTGTCATTTCCACTCTTCCTTTATCCTCTCGAATGGTTGACCCAATGTCTAGAAGAAAGTGGTCTGGGGCTACTGGTCTGAGTTCTGTAGAAGTTTTGCCATAGTAGGATATGGATTTACTCCATATAATAAGAAAAATATGGCAACCAAGTTTTATTAACATTTGTATGCACTAAATGTAAAGTTCAGTTAATTTAATTCATTTTAGCTCTTATTTTCAACCATAGTCACATTTTTTTCATAGCACAACTGTGGCATTTGTCATATAACAACAATTACCTGGTAATCATGAAAATACCGAGATATATGCACTTAGTGCTGAAGACTTGCTGTATTTGTGAAAAGATTTTTTTAAAGAAAAACAATATGCAGCAGATGTGAAAGTTTTACCTTCAAATTTAAATAGGTTTATATTCTCAGTGAGTGTGGGCTCAGCACAGGCCAACAAAGTTTAGCTTACCAGATGTTCTACTTGATCTCATGATGCTATACAGATGTTTTCTGTTTTTTTACAGTGCTCAGATAAATGTACACTAAATGCACTGATTTCTTTATTGTACTTTTGTATGATTGTGTACATTACCACAGTGAATTTAATTCAATCTGTAGGCCACACATGCACACAGAATTCACTAAAGTCAGTGAGAGACAATATGATGATTCTATAAAAGTATATTACTATGCTACTTGGCCCCTTTTCAATACTGCACTGGAAAACAGACGTTCTCCAGCCACTATGTTGACACTGCAGTTATAATGCTAATAAGACTAGGTTGAAAGATGGGTTTTACTTCTAGTTTGAATGCTGTGAAGTTAGGGGCTGTTTTCCATTCTTTGCAAGAGCGATTTCTCAAGTCTAGAGCTGGTTTCTGTGAAAGCTATGTCTTCTATATTCATAAGACTCCTGTTTGTGCACAGTTCCATTGTTCTAGTTTAGCAGAACTTAGTAGTCATGGGAGGTCATGGATGGAGCAGCATTCTCTCAGGTAGCAAGAATTAATCCATAGTGGGCTTTAATTGTTGAAACGAAGACACTGAATTGGACTGTATTGAGTGCAATGCAGAGAGCACAGTGTCTTCCATAGCTCTTGACAGTACCACGTGCTTTCACTCTGTCCCTGCCGCAAAATGGGTCTTTAGTAATATGCCCACGTTTAACCATGTGAGTTGTTTTTAAAGACATACAACTTCCTTCACGACTCTAAAACCATTTCAAAGTGTCCCTGTGAATATTTAATTACATAGGGTCTTAACTACAATAGCTTCCCACCTGCCTGGTTTATTCAATAACAGACCAACCAAATAACAAAAAAGGGAAATTTCATTTCCCGACACCTGCTTTTGCTCTCCATTCTCCTTGCTTCCCCTTCTACTCCTTGCACTCTTCTTTGACTTTTGACCGTTTTGCTGCCTTCCTCTCCTCTTCCCACCTCAACTTTCCACCTGTTTTTAATCCACTTGTACACTTGTAAACTTTTTCTTCTTATCTGGCATGTACATTCTCTATTCTCTTTTAAATCCTTTTGAAAAGCTACTTATTCCAGCATGTCATACTTCTGTCTCATCATTAAAGCCAAGACTTAGTCATGGATATTATTAGTAAAAGTTATGGGCAGATCTCAGGAAATAAACAAAAACTCATGGCCTCTGACTTGTCCATGACTTTTTCCAAAAATACCCCATACTAAATCTTAGATGCTGCCTGGGGGGAAGGGATGGCACTCCTGCATACACTGTTGCTCTGCGGGATTGCTCTGAGCGCCTCCGGCACCACTGTTGGTGCTGCTCCTGAACAACCCTAGCAGCAGCCTGTGCATTGACCCAGACACTGCAGTTGCACAGGAGGTCCTGAAATCAGCTGTACTGACCACTGCGGAAGTCACAGAAGTTCTGGAAAGTCACGGAAACTGTGACCTCCACAAAAGACTTGAGGAAAGACTGTGAAATAAACTCTTCACCTCCCTTGATTTGTGTGTCTGATGTATGGCTCAATCTTGTAAACATTTACAAAAACAAGTAACTGTTCAATTGGGTTCACATACATAAATGATTGCAGGACTGGGCCATTAGTTCATATGTTTTTTGACACTGGAAATATGTCTTGTTCCATAAAACACAATGTTCATTTAAATTAATAAATTATGTTTAATTATACTACTACTACAAAAAATTAATGACAATAAATGACCTTGATAGAGCATGGGAAACATATGCAAATGAGCTCTACTCTTTTGCATCTTCTACCTTCCAAACACTTGGTCCTACAGATTTTTTAAAGGTGTCCTGCAGGCATGTTTCTTTTGCAGCTGACAAATGGACTTCATACCCAGGTTTATGAGAATAATAAAACTGTCAAATGTGTATTTTTCTTTATTAGTGAATACATCATCTTGTATTTCAGGAATTCCAAATAGCTGGACTTCCTGACTATGTTAAAATTGTAGAAGTTGGGCCAAGAGATGGATTACAAAATGAAGAGGTAATTTATTTCACTATCCACTTTTGCACTGTGACAGGTTTCAAGGGGGTAGCTGTGCTCGTCTGTTTCAACAAAAACAAGTCCTGTGGCACCTTAAAGGCTAATGAATGTATTTGGGCATAAGCTTTCGTCAGCTGGAATCCACTTCATCAGATGCATGAAGTGGAAACTTCAGGCTAGTAGGGATATATGGGAGTGTTACATTACTATGCAGAGGACCAGTGCTAACGAGGTCAGTTCAGTCAAGGTAGATGTGTCTGTTCCCAACAGTTGATGAGAAGGTAAAAAATGACTTTTTGTAGTGAGCTAGCCAATCACAGACTCTATTCAGATGCATTCTGATAATATCAAGTTTGCATACGAGTTCCAGCTTTGCAGTTTCATGCTGAAGTCTGTGTCTGAAGTTTTTTAGCTCAAGTATGGCAACTTTCAAGTCTGTTATTCAGTACCCAAGGAGATTGAAGTGCTCTCCTACTGGGTTTTTTTTTCCTATCTGGTACCCAAGATCCATAAACCTTGGAATCCTGGATGACCCATCATCTCGGGCATTGGCACTCTTACAGCAGGGTAGAGACTGAGGGTGGCTAACTCCCTACAAAAAGTAATTTCCCCCCTTTTGGTATTTACAGTTTCTCATCAATTGTTGGGAATAGGACACATCCACCTTGATTGAACTGGTTGAACTTGATTGAACTTGATTGAACTGACTGCCTGTCCACAGATATCCACCTCATATCCACAGATAGTGGAGTGGATACCGACACAGGGCTGCCAGGCAAGTCCCTGCACTTTGGCAGGGAAAGGATGTGAGAAGCAGTGTCCTAAATGTCCCTGTAACAGGGGTTGAGTGCCAGCCCTGCCTGCCCTCCCCCACTCCAGTCTAGTGAGAACTGACCTGTTGAGCTCCAGTGTGCTGCCTGCCTCTTCCATGCACTACCCTGTCCCCCTTTTTGTTCATCTGTGCTCCCTCTCCTCTCCTCTCCTCTCCTCTCCTCTCCTCTCCTCTTTTCCCTCCAGATTTGTTGTGCAGATTGTGGATCAGATGAGTTGAGACTGGCAGATGCGGATTGGATGCATTTCCATATTTTTGTATCCATGCAGGGCTTTACTCGCTGTCACTGGTCCTCTGCATAGAAATATAGCACTCCCCTTTGCATACCTGCCAAACTGAAGTTTTCCTTTCAAGCATCTGACAAAGTGGCTTCCAGCCCATGGAAGCTTATGTCCAAATAAATGTATTAGTCTTTAAGGTGCTACAGAACTCTTTGTTTACACTTTTGCATTGTTTCATGTGGATATTTATCATGATGTACAACTTACATGTCATAATTTTAACATTTTTCACCAATATAATTGGCTATTAAATTAGATATTTAAAATAGTAAGCTATGACTATTATGCCTTGTTGTGCCGATATATACTTTTTATATTTATAGTTTTATTATTACATAATTTCCTATCATTTATTACGTCTGTCAGAACCTAGATTAAAAACTCTTGTTCTGGAAAATGCCTAGACCTCTGTGGGGCTAATCTCTGATCAGTGCCCTTAAATGCTACATCAGTAAATAAGACTTTAACATCCTGCCCGAGGAACAGCCTGTTAGAAAAGAAAAATAACTTGCCATAAACCGTGCAAGATTTTTTGTTTCTATCATCCATCTGAAGACTGGGATGGGAACTGGATGGTGGCTTAATGTAGTGAGAATAAATCTGGTCCATGTAAAATTGGACCCAAACACTATGATTCCCAATCATAGCCCAGAAAAGATCATTCCACAGACAGCAGATTCATGTACCTCACCATGGCTAGAGTATTAATATGACAATGGGAACATTAATTACCATAGGTTTTTTTGCTTTCTTCCTCAAAGAAGACAAGTCTGTATATAGTCCCTTCCTGGGTCCCTTCTCATCAGTGGAGACACGTCATCCCCATCCCTGCCGTCTTTTGTGAAGGCATCTGCGTATAGCTTTCTCATGAATGGCTTTGTGAGACTCCTGGGAAGGAGTGGAAAATGTAGTGGGTGCACATACTCTGCTTTCTGGTCCATTACGTGTTTGCTGCCCACTGACTGCACACAAGGGGAAGAGTGTCTGGTCATGCTTAACTACTTTAAATAAAGCATGGATGCTTATTTTGTACTGTGGACATTTTATTTGCAAAAGGTACTTATTATATGACAGATTTTTTCTGATGTAATGCTTTCATATCCTTAGGTCAAAGTTCCAACAGATATCAAAATTGAGTTAATCAGTCGACTTTCCAAAGCAGGCTTGACTGTAATAGAAGCAACCAGCTTTGTTTCTTCAAAGTGGGTACCTCAGGTAGGTAAAATGTGCAGTTTATTTCAGTTTAAGTGCCATATGATTCAGAAATGATATTAATTATCAGAAGAGCCAAAGCAGTTGAGTTTTCTCACACCCTAGCTCATAATTACATATAAGAAGGTACAACAAGCTCATCTACTGTGTTTTGGGCCGCCGTGAGATCCCTTCTATAGTTCTAAAGCTTTACATTCCACCTGATCCATAGGGAATTTCAGATCAATGTTTGAAAGCTATTTAGATAGCTAAAGATGTAGTTACCTTTAAAAAATCTGGCCCTTCCTGACTGGCGTGCAGGGCAAATTCCAATGAATCATGCTGAGATCTTTTAAAACAGACAATTGTTTTTCTCAGATGGAACAGTTAGGCTCCAGAGCTACAGATCCATTGGTATCATTATAGATGTTTGGTATCTGTATTGGGCCTTATGTAGGTTATTCAACCACAATTATAATATGTATGTCATATGCTACTTTTGCTATGTACCAGCAACACTTAAAATCTGGGCCTTATTAACGTTTCAATTCCAAAATTCCATTTGACTTCAATGGATGCTGGATTTTGCCAAAGTTTTGATATTGTAGATCTTAGGTACTGAGTACCTTCTAAAAGGTGCTAAGCATCCTCTCATTGTAATTGTTTGCTGTTTGCAGGTAAAGCTGAAGAAAATCAATGATGATTTATATTTCTTAAATTTATTTACAGAAACTTATTTACACACACAAAATACAGGCACATTTGAATTTATAATTTCTGGGTTTAATTATTCTGATTGCATTCATATTAGGGATGGAATAGGATAACCATTTACACAGTTAACTGATAAGCCTGGGATTATCAGTTACCATGAATGGTTACATGCAGACTTCTGCCCCACTCCAAGGGAGCCGGCTGCTACCCCACTCTGCTGGCTCTGTATTTGAGCCCACAGCATGGAGCAGCAGCCAGATCCCTGGGAGTGAGATGGAAGCCAAGAGCCAGTATGTGCCAGGAGCTGGTGTGTATGGTTCCTGGGAAGTTGGCTGCCGCCCCACAATGGAGATGCATGTAATCGTGTAACCACTGACATTTTCAGCGATTATACCATTACCTCTATTACCCACTTTTTAACATCCCTAATTCACATGTCAAGTAATTACATGTACAATTGTATCTAGAGATTTGTGAATACACTCACCTATTTAACACATGCAGTTCCAGTCATTCCATATAGAAATACACTTCTATTTGTGTATCTGTGATTGTTTGATTGTTCATAGAAAGCAGGCCTTGTTTGTAATTGTTTGTGCTTATGTAAATTAAAAACATGTATAGGCATATCAAGCATTCTTTAAAATTTTCTAAGTCTAAAATATTCAATATTATTATTTTAATTAACCTTTATTTCATTCTACAAATTTAAACAGAACAGAAATAATATTGCAGTTAGATCAACAGTTATCATCCATGCAAATAGAATGTAATGAAGGACAGTACACAGAGCATTGCAACCAGAGATATTTTACATTGCACTAGAATTATGCATACTTGAAAACTATCCAAGTGAAAAAGAGAGGATTGTAAATTTTGACTTTTTTTTCCTGCATATTCTCTGTTAAAATGTGTGCAGAATATTTCCCATTCAATTTTTGCATGGCCATTAAGAAAGCACTGTAGGGGAGTTGAAAGGAGTAAGTATTCCTTTCTGCCTTGTAAGGCCATGTACGGGCTATCCACATCACAGCTGTGAGCATGCCAGGAAGTGCCGGGGCTGCATACCAGGTACTGCTACCTTCAGGGGTACTCGAGAGAAGTCTGGTGGGTATTTCAACACAACTGAAATTTGGAGAAAACTGAATTTTTGTTTTAAGTTTTGGAGTGCTTTATTATTTTTGTACTTTTTATGCTCAAAAATTTCATTGCCTGCCCAGCCATGATTAAGTTGTTTAAACAAATGTGTTGCAAGGGTAGAAACAAATGTTGTATGTCTGAAAACTGTAGATACTGGGGGTACTTACAATTTTTTTTAAAAGGGGTACTTTATAAAATAAGGTTGAGAAATACTGTTGTACCCTCTGCAGGGGTGTCACAAATTATCTCCTCCATGTCAGAACAGCAGGAGAGCCCAGAGGATATTGGAATAATCAGGCCTTGATCAGGCCACTGCGATGGGTTCTTCTGGGTAGCCAGCCAGTTACACATCTAGCCCAAGTTTGGAGTACACTTTCTTAATTATTCACATTGAAAACTCATATGGTAATTCACCATGCACTGTTACATCACACAGTGGTGGTTGCAATATCAGACAATAATGTAAGGTTTTAATGTTAGCCTGCAGCCTAAGGCAAACATAGGTCTATTTCTTTTTCTAGTCTGTGTTTAATTCTTTCCTTTTCCCATGAGGCCTTTAGAAAAGCAAATTTAGTTCAGACTTGTCAGATTCAGAAAAGAGGACAATTCCTTCTTATCTCAAACTCAAGTCTGAATATTTTCTTTTAATAGCTTATGTGATGTTTAAAATAGTTTTGGTTTAAGTGATAAGGTTGTATTGCTTGGAGATGGAGTACAGTCTTGATTATGTCTTTTTTTTCCCCTCCCCTTTCTTTTTTTCTTCTCATAGGTCATGGGAATAGAACTCCCGGTTATGTTTAGATCACTCATTCACTTATTTCTTTTTTTAGTATTTTAAAGCTCTTTTATGGTTTCCCTTCTACTGTTTTCTTTGGCATAGAATTTATGACTGAAAAAAAGTCAAAAGAAAAAGTTCCACAGTAGCAAGGTGCCATATAAAACAGGATCTCATACGTATAATGTAAATGGCCAGAAATGTTAAATACTTGCCATTAAAAAGCATATTGTAAAATTTTTATTAACAATTTAAATGCAATAATATGAAGCTTTTGGTAAAATAAGATTCTGCTTACAGGGGAAAAAGCAAGGGGACAAATTTAACATAGGAAAATGTATTTGGAATATTTGGAATTGTGTATATTTTTACACACAGTGTCATTTCATTTTGTTTAAAAATATTTTAAATCATATGATTTTTGAAGTGTGGAATTAGTTCCATCATTTATCATTAATCATTTGACTTCAAAAGTTCTGAAAAATGAAGATGTTTTTATTTAATTAAGGATGAAAGCTTGTTCTTAAAGCAACAAGATATGATCAAGTGTGTTTTTAGGTGATTATTGGATATGTTAGATTCTTTTATTGATTGAGTTCTTGGAGAAGCTATTATAAAAATATATGGCCTAGCACCAATGTTCAGTTCCTACCATGGGATAAATTATGGGCATGGGTACATTTTAATGATATGTCTATTAAACACTTGGAACCTTATATCTACTTCTGCAAAGTTATATATTTGAGATCGAATTTGAGGATTCTGTTGTTGCAAAGATATATATTTAGGGCTAAATTTGAAGACGCTGTTGCTGCATGTGTTTGCCCCAAATTTTTGAGTTAATATTTTCCCAACAGGAAACCAGAAACATGTGTCTGTTGGCTTATATATTATTTTCATCACCAAAACAAAATTTGGTGAAGTTAATGAGGTACAACAACTGAGTTTTGAGAAGATGTTGTAGGGACTAATGATTGTGCTTCATTAATCATTAGTGGCTTAAAGTTGGATCTGTGCATTCATGTTAGGGATGCTAAATATCGGTTAATTGAATAGTTGATTAACCTCATGAATTCTTATCAGTTACCTGACTATTCTATAGTTCCCGGGGGTGGGGCCAGTAGCCGGTGCGCTCCAGTCCCACTCCTGAGGGACTCCCTGCCACCCCATGCTGCTGTCTCTGTATCAGAGGCAGCAGTGTGGGTTGCCAGGTGAGAGCCGGTCTGTGAGGGGAGCCAGTTTAAAAACCATGGACAGGCTGCCTGTCGCCCCATGCTGCTGTCTCTTTTACAGCCATGCAGCAACCCCTGTCTAGGGGAGTAGGTCTGAGCTCCCAGGGCAGCGCAAGCCAGGACTGAGTTGGGCTGCTAAAAAATTTACGGGTGGAGGGGGAGAGAAGTGAGTGTAGTTTATAGCATTAACTGATAAGCTTTTGTTTATTGGTTAATTGTCTATACTATTACATCCCTAATTCATGTCACTTGCTCTGTAGGGTGCCATTAGCCTTGATTTTGCCTTAGAACTTAGTGAAATTGTGAAATATCTTATCCATGAAAGTTTCCATGCAGATTGGATTTATTTAAATTTAGTTTAGTAATTTTGTATTAAATTACCATGGATTTAACTCCGGCTTCTACAGTTTCAAGTTCAATAGAGTGCATATTATCTCTGGTACTTATCTCAAATTTGGAGACACTAGGAATATGTGAAGTCCAGGGATAGTGACCACAGATAATCACAATTACAGTACTAGGTTTTATGTACACCACAAGTTTAACCAAAGCAAGAAGTAAAGTTACAAATATCCATGTGTATATAAATCCTACAAAAACCTATGCGATGATTAAGACTGTAGTCATACTCACATCCTCTAAGATATTTTAGGGTATGGTGTAGGAATGTGAATGGGTAACCAGTTAACGGTTATCCAATTCACCGTTACCAGGTAAGTAGCTAGGGCTGAAGCTGGGACTGGGAGCCGGCAGCCAGGTGCAGCCTCATTGAGGGGCACAGTCAGCCCCTGTGCTGGGGTGGAATTTGGAAGCTGGCAGCAGTCCCAACAAGAGGGCTAGGAATCAGAAGAGCCAGCAGCAGCCCCAGCTACTGCTTGGGGCTGGGAGCAGGTGTTCCGCGTGTTGAGGGGCTGGAACCATGAAATCCCATTAGTCAGTTAACCAGTTAAACGTTAACTGATTAACTTGGATTTTACATCCCTAGCATAGTGGCTGTCTCAGTAGATGATCATCAATAGAGGAAGGGTTCCAGCTGAGGTTTCCTGTGGAGTAATTTGTTAGGATGGTCTCTTGGGTCCTTCCTCATTTTCCATACTTGAGAACCTCTTTTATCTTTTTGGTCTAACTACACCTAACACCTTATTCATATGCATGAAGCTTTCAACCCCCTTTTCTTTATTCATACTTCAGTAACCCATGAATTTTGGGGAACCCCATTTTTTCATAGGGGTTGTTCTTGGTTCCCCTTATGATCATCTATATGCAACATGTACCCTTGAATGAGAACAGGACTTTTCGTGATGTTACAATTTGGTGTGAGGCTTTCATCTGAAACACTGTAAGGCCCAGTAACTCCCCCCTCCCACCATAAAATGTGAGATGGCACAATCCTTGAGCATCATGAACAGCTAGTGTACCTTGGGGACACATTAGATCAAATGCTGATGTTCTAAGAATACATCAAGAATCTGAAAAAGAAAGAGAAGTCCAGGAATTGAGTACTCTAGAAACTACCCAACTCAAAATGGGTTGCTGACTCCAAAAAACTGTAAGCAACCCAGTCTTGCTCAGTTAGTCTACTGCAGAGTACTGCACCCCAGTATAGTCACACTCAAGCTATGCTCCTGAAATTGTTACTGAACTTAATCTTGTAAGATCATCTCAGGGACTTTGATTCTGACTCCCATACTGTTGTGCTGTCCCACAAGGACCTCACTCTCATCAGTGAATCAGGTTGTCTTTAGTAAAATGGAAAGACAAAAAAAAATGCCTCATCAAAGACACTCGCCACATGGACATAAGATACAACCCAAGAGGCTGAAGGCCAGAAAGAGCTTTACCTCTGAATAATCCTGACCACAAAATTTTACTGTAGAAGGTTAAAAAGTAATAAAATGACAGGAAATGCCATTGGTCTTGGACAACCTGGTTCCTTCAAAACAACTCTTTCTAGGTTCTGAGCTCAAATGGAAACACTGGTGGTCTTAATTGAATGAGAGTTGGAATGGCAAAGACTAGTGAGAGTGTGACCAAATGGGAGTTGAAGAAAGAACCCAAATGTGAATAAAAGCTTCAGAGGGATAGCTGAGTTAGTCTGTAACTGGAAAAACTTAAACAAGAACGAATAGTCTATTACCATCTTAAAGACTAACAAAATATATAGATGGTATCATGAGCTTTCATGGGCACAACCCACTTCTGTTTGCCTATGAAAGCTCATGATACCATTTACATGTTTTGTTAGTCTTTAAGGTGCTGCAAGACTATTCATTGTTTTTTAAGTTTTTCCAATTGTGAATGTAGAGTGTTTAGGCTACAGTTCTAATGATGCATTGCCCTCTGTCAACATACTGTAGTGATAATATTGGGGTACAATGTCCCACAATGTCATATCTGATCATTCCAGATCTTGATTGCAGTTTGGAGTAAAAAAACTAAGATTTTTTTAAAGATTATTGTTAGAGAAATAAAGGAATACTGTAAATTATTTTAGGCTCAATTTTTGTCACACTTTAAATGAGCTATAATAACCACTGTCATTCACAAAAATAATGTTTATGCTATAGTAATTGTCTACCAAATACTACTGCCACTATTTGTTACCCTTTCTAATGGATGCTGTAAAAGCAAGAAATTAAAAACAGACATATTAAGTTTTCCATTCCTAACATTAGGGGGGAAATGTTTTCCAAATGGAAAAAAGATCAAAATGGTGAAGACGTGCTCCAGATTGTTGAGATTCAAATTGAAAAATGCAGGCTAATTTTATTTTTTCCTCACACTTCTAACCACTCTGGTTCCCACTGTAGAACTTGGCTTGCTACGATTAAGTGACTTGCCAGTAGAGCAGGGTGGAGTAAGGTATTCTATTTCATGGGGGATTTCAATACAGGTATTTTAAAATTTGTTCTCATTTTTATTTGAAAGAGAAAAACAAAATTTTTGAATTCTCCATGAAACGGAATGGAGCCCTGGCTCTAGGTTGGTCTACTTAGTAGTCTGCCTCAGTACCTAGATTTTGAAAGCCCTTTATTCCCTTTATTCAAAGCAGTATGAATGGTTGGCTATCCTGAAACCATGGATCATGGAAGTCCAGGTCCCCAGCAGTCATTCAGATGGGCTGCCAAGGACCAGGGCAGGCAATCTGTCAGGGAAAACAGCATATTTCTGTCATAACTCTGCCTGCCTTCTGTTAGAACTTTGTCAAAATTAGAACCGTATGTACAAAATGTTTACCTTTTGACAAATGAGCAAATACTAATGAAAAAAGCCTTCTGGCATAATTTTTCTGACTAATTCTAATTGCAATACACTGGGTCAGTAGCAGAGCTAGACTAAGTATTCAGCAACTGCTGTGTGCCATTATTGAACTTAGATTACTAAAAGTCATCTTTCTCTCATAGCATTTGGGCGGGCTTGCTATGAATACTGGCATGGAGGATAGAAAGGGTAATGTAATGAATGTAGGTAAAACAATGGTTTGTTCATTAAGGGAGTAAATTCTGTCTTTAGATTCTCTCATTAGACTTTTGTCAGCTGGAATTATACTTTAGCATCTGAGACCAGAATTTGGCCCAATGTATACCAAAATGTTTTATGTAGATTCTTACTAATATCATTTATTATTTTCATCACAAACATGGATATTAGTCATCAGTCAACAGAATAGTTTCTTGTTTTGAGCCTTTTTTCTACAAATTAGAAACTACAAATGAATCATTGCAAGTATTTGATTGTAAACCTACTAAGCGTTAGGTCTGTCCAAGATGACCTTTCCTCTCCCCTGATTCTGAGGTTGACCAGGGGCTAAATCCAGGCCTCTGTATAATTTAGAACAATATATATGCTGTTCCAAGTCACACTGAACAGTTCTGTTGTGCTTCCATTTGCTTTTGGCTTGCCCAGAAACACCTTTTATATGGGGCAAAAGAAAGAAAAAGTGCAGTAAAGTCAATTGTACAGCTTTATTCTACTCAGGGAATTCCTTCCTTTTGTATGACAATAAGATCTTTGTTCCTTAAATTTCATCTGCTGCTGCACCTTGTCTATACCTGACATTGTAATCCTCTGTTTATGAAAGCAGAATAATTTACATTGATCTAATATGGGGAAGATTAATGCATGTGGAAAATGCAGGAAAAATTTAAACCCGCAGTGGGGAGAGGTTAACATTTATATATTAGTTTGAAATTATATTCTCTCTTGTAGTATTTGTGCTAATTCTATATAATTAAGTAGCATTTTTCATAAATATAATGAACTCTAAATTACATGGCACCCCATCATCAATGTCTCTCTTAAAGCTTTGCTTCCTTATTTGAATGAATATATTTTCTGTCTTATCAAAATAGGAACGAACACAGAAACTTTTATATTCCATAGAATCTTGTTATTTTTAATCAGATATATTGTGCATGCTTTTCAAGCCTCCAGGTATAAATCATACTGTTTTTCATTAAGTATATGCATAAATAAGACAAAGAGCAGTGTAATCCAGTCAATGCTCTGTTGTAGTGTATTATTTCTGCTATTATGTGACCTAATGACTAAGCAGAATTACATCCATCCTTAAATTCATATTTACCTTTTTAAAAAGAGTCATTAGATATTTGTTAATTAGCATAACTGAAAAATACATGCAAAATATTTATGTATTTAAGATGGCAGATCACACAGAAGTAATGAGAAGGATCGAGCGGCATCCTGGCGTACGATACCCTGTACTCACACCTAATCTTCAAGGTTTTCATTCTGCTGTAAGTGTATTGTTAGAGTGTGTCTTCAGTTAAGGTCTTCATGATTCAAACACTTTATACACAGTACTAAAGACTATCTATTTAATATAATTTACCCATCCTATTAGAATTAGGCTGTATTTTTTTCAGAAATAAAAAATTTAGCAAACTCACCAATTTTATAGTAACATTAAATTCCATACATTTCATTTTAGTGGTCACTATGAACCACACAGTCCTTTATAAGGTGTCATAAATATAGTGCATGGCTGAAGAAAAAACAAATATTACCTTTTATTCTTTAGCTTGTTGACACCTCAGTTGGCTGATAATTTTCATGCAAAATATTTTTCCACCAGAAAATGAAGATTCATCAAAATTGAAAGGTTTTGTGGAAATACATTGATTTTTGTCGGAATTTTCAAAAGAAATGATCTTTTTATAAGATCAAAATGTAAAGTCAAGGTGAACAGTTTCGACTTTATTAAGAAGAAATGTATCATAAAGGTCAACAATCATTTAGAATATTTCATTTTGTGAAAAATGTCAAGATCTTAAACTTTTTTTTCAGATTAGGGACTAAATGAATTTTCAGAAATTTAGAAATTCCTGTGGGATTGCAATTTCATTTTTTTTACCGACTCTGGGAGTCTATGTCCCAATCCTGCAGCACATTGGCCTGTTGAATTTATAGTTCAGCATCGGCAGAACCTGCTGGCTTCCTCTTTGAATGTGGCTGCAGATAAGCATGCTGAGAGCCATGGGATGGGATGGTGGATAGGAAAAGAAAACACAGGGCTTAGGTGACCAGGTGTAAGGCTTTACAGGAGCAGAACCCAGGGCTGAGGAGTTGACATTCCTACATGGCCATTGGTGAGACCTCTCCAAGGAGTACTGTGAAGATTAGACACAGCAAGACATACCACCCAAATGGTGAGTGATAGTAAACTTTGGCCTTCTGATCAGCCCATGCTCACTATTTAATCCCGGTATATGGCTCATGTTGAAGATGCAGGTTTGCTGTGACTCCTGACCTGACTTGCTGATTTTTGTTCTCTGAACCAAGGCTGATTCTGAACCTGAATCTTGATTCCTAATTTCAGCGTAGTAGCCATCTCTGTGACCCTGCCTGTGACCTAGTAACCTGACCCTGACCTGTGGCTCGTCTCTGATGTTGGCCTAACTCTGACTCCTCTGTTGATTGGGATCCAGTGATTATTCTGATTCTGACTTGTAGGCTACTGTATTGTGCCAAGTCAGCTAGGTCATACTGCAAGTGACTACTAGATCCTACTGCATGTGCCCTAGTTCTGTTCCAATTGGTAACAGGTCGTCCCAAAAGAAACAATATCTTTTCTCATGGAATATTGTTCTTATATCTCTCAAATGTATATTTCCTTTTTTCCCCTACTGCTCTCAGCCGTTTACTCTCCAAACACCTATCATGTTTGAACTGCCTAATAGAGACCAAGGGAACATCAATATTACAATTAAAAAATCTCAGTCTAGTCTATGACAGCTGATTTATGCTTCTATGGCTTGGTCTAAGGTGCTCTTTAATTGTAGCACTTTAAAGACTAACAAGATGCTTTATTAGATGATGAGCTTTCGTGGGCCAGACCCACTTCCTCAGATCAAATAATGGAAGAAAATAGTCACAACCATATATACCAAAGGATACAATTTAAAAAAAATGAACACACATGAAAAGGACAAATCACATTACAGTAATGTTAGTCTTTAAAGTGCTACATAGTCCTGTATTTTGTTTCAGCTACACCAGACTAACACGGCTACATCTCTATCTCTTTAATTGTAGTCATTCAGCCTTGAGCTGCAGCCTCCTATCCCAAACATCTATACATCAATTAAATAACCCCTTTGCCCAAGTCAGCATGGATTCTTCACAGGGTGTCTAATTGCAGCATAGACATACCCCAAACTATTTAGAACGAGAGGGAAAGAAAATAATGCCATCAAGAACACGGAAAAATGTCTGACCCTCTCCATCCTCCTGTAATATAAGTTGGGACTGCTTATGCACAGCTGAATTGGGACCTAACCTACAGCTTAGATTTTTTAGAAGAACAGTGTTAGGGACTGGCTTGCCTTTCTCCTAAGGCTTAGGGTATGTCTACACTGCAACACTATTTCGAAATAACTAGCGCTATTCCAAAATAACTTAGTCCGCATCTACACAGCAGGAAGCTATTTCGAAATAGTGTCAAAACACTGTCAAGCTGGAGGACTGCTTACTCCGTCTTCTGTAACCTTCATTGTATGAGGAATAAGGGAAGTTGGAGGAAGAGTTCTCTATTTCGAAATCAGGGTATGTCTACACAGCAAAGTTATTTCGAAATTACAGCCATTATTTTGAAATAACTTTACTATCATCTACACAGCCAAACTGCTATTTCGAAATTAATTTGAAATAGCGGAGCGCTTATTTCAAATCTGGTAAACCTCATTCCATGAGGAATAATGCCAAATTCAAAATAGCTATTTTGAAATAAGTGCTGTGTAGACACTTATATCAAAATAGGGGGCCTCCAGCCTTCCCAGGGTGCCCTGGTGGCCACTCCAGCTTCAATCAAGGACACTCCTCTCCCTCTCCCCTCCTCAGAGCCCTTAAAGTGGTTGACTTCGGCCGTAGTGCCTGTGACATCTCCACGCCTGCCAGCCTAGAGCCAGCAGTCACTGCAGGGTAGCTTCCAGCCTGGCCACCAAAGGCCACATGCGAACCCAGGAGCAGGTTTGCCTGAAAATCAAGTTGGTCCGGCGAGACCTCCAACCCTGAGTCCTGAGCTTCCCCTCCACCTTCTTCCCCTTGCTTCCCCCTTCCAGCTCCCTCCTCCCAGGTTTCCCCCTCCCCTCTACCATTCTCTCGTCTCCCCTCTCCTGCCTCCTTTCCTGAGTCTCACCAGAGTTTCATTCCCCCCCCCAGTTTTGTTAAATAAAGAGAGTTTGTGTTCATAAAAATACATGTATTTTATTTGACATCAGGATGGGGGGTAAGGGAGGGGTAAGTGGAAGGACGTGAGGGAGGAATGAGGCACAAGCCCCCAGTGGGGCAGACCAGGGAGGCTCTTAGTGCTCCTCAGAGTGGAAGCTCTCCCTCTCCCGCAGGGCCTCCCGGATAGCAGATTTGGCTCCATGTTGCAGACTGCTGTGGTGTCCTGAGTGAGGGCAACCAGAGCATGCAGAAACAAAATGCTTTGCTGTCCCTCACTGAGGTAGGCAAGCAAACAGGGAAACCTGAGAACTGGCTGTCCAGGGGGGTCCCTTTAAGCACAGACCTCAGATAGCCTCAGGCAGCAGCCACACAAAGTAGCTCCTGACCTGATGCCCTGCCAGAACCAGTTCCGGCAATTCAGCATCCTATCAGTGTGGATGCGCTATTTTGAAATAGCAAAACACTATTTCAAGATACATTTTGTGTCTAGATGCGGTATTTCAAAATAAGTATATTTCAAAATAAGATATTTCTAAATAACGCTGTAGTGTAGACATACCCTAAGTTCTGTGTAGATGCTCCCTATTTCAAAATAAGCTATTTCGAAATAAGATATGCATTTGAGGTAGCTCAATTTGTCTAGCTTATTTTGAGTTAAGCCCTGCAGTGTAGACTTAAGTCTAAACCAGGTTTGTACTGCTTTAAGCTATCTGTGTAGGTAGAGATTCTCCATTTAGGGAAATAACCTATACTGATATGAGCACCTCCTACTTCTGTCTATACTAGGGAGTTGTACCAATTTGACTAATAGTTTTTGAAGCAGGTTAGATTAAAGTGCCATAAGAACTGGGTGCAGACAAACCCTGAATTATTGAGGGATTCCCTCACCCCTTCCCCAAATATCATGGATATATGTGGATATGTCCCATTATACATATGGGCTGTGTCTAGACTGGCAAGCTTTTCCGCAAAAGCAGCTACTTTTGCAGAAAAAACTTGCCAGCTGTCAACACTGGCTGCTTGAATTTCTGCAAGAACACTGACTTCCTACTGTCTGAAATCAGTACTTCTTGCAGAAATACTATGCTGCTCCCGTTTGGGGAAAAGTCCTTTTGCGGAAAGCTTTTGCGCAAAAGGGCCAGTGTAGACAGCTCAGATTTGTTTTGCGCAAAAAAGCCCCGATCGTGAAAATGGCAATCGGGGCTTTTTTGCGAAAAAGCGCGTCTAGATTGGCATGAATGCTTTTCCGCAAAAAGTGCTTTTGCGGAAAAGCGTCCATGCCAATTTAGACGCTCTTTTCCGCAAATGCTTTTAACGGAAAACTTTTCCATTAAAAGCATTTGCGGAAAATCATGCCAGTCTAGACGTAGCCATGGAGAACAGAAAGTGTGGAAACAATTGACACTTTTGATTGTTTTTTATTTGCTCTATCAATGATATTTAAACAGCATGTGTCAACAGCATTACTGGCAAGTAATATGGCTGAATCACTCTAATCAATAGTCTCTTTCATTATCATATTTTGCATCATTTCTTACAATTTTAATACTAAAGCTTATCATTTTAAAATCATGTGTTAATTGTTAAAGCAGTAACTGGTCTTTTCCCATTTAATAACAAAGGGAGGGTAGTACGCCCTGGTGAATTGCGTTAATTAAGAGGACAAATTATATGAAATCTGTAAGGTTGAAAATAGACTAAGTAAAATCTAGAGCAGCATTTCTTAAAGAGTGTGCTGAGAGGCAGTCAGAAGTGTGCCGTAGAGAGAACAGAAAAAATTCTGCTCTCCCACCCCCTGCAGAGCCCGTAAACAGCTCCCGCTATGGCTCCCCCCCAGCCCGCAGGATGGCCCCTGTCTCATGGGGCCTACAGTGCTGCGCAGCCTTCTCCTCCTCCACATTTGCAGGCAGCAGGTTTTATAGTGGCCACTGCTGCTGGGAGGGGGGAGGTGCTGGGGGGGGGTAGGGGTGACCGGAGCTGAGGAGCCGCTCCCAGACCTCAGTGTTTTAAAACTGATGCCTGCGGGGAACCCAGCTCAGGCTCTGCTGCCCCCACCTTCCACCTGGGGTGCACTCAGGCGCTGCTGTCCGCTCCCCGCCTGTGGTGCACTCGGGCTCTGCTACCCCCCATGCACCCCTCCCCAGCCTGCTGGGGAAGTGGCAGAGTTTAATCTGGCAGGGACTGTCGGGGTTTCTACTCCTCTCCTCCCTTCCCCCCCTCCCGCCAGCAGGAAGCCTGGCCTGGTGCTGCAGCTGCGCTGGGATCCCCGCTGCATGGGCGGGGGGAGGGGAGGAAGTGAGCTCTCCAACATCCCCCTTCCCCCCCCCCCAGGAATAAGAGCATGCTTCCGGAAGGCTTTCCCTGCTGCAGCAGGGTGCCAAGCCAGGTAAGTGTCCCCCTCATGCCCAGACCCCGCACCCAAACCCCCCTCATTCCCGACCTTCTGCCAAGACCCCGCATTCCCAGCTTGCTCTGACACCCTGCCCCAAATCCCCTCTTGCACTCTCCCTCCTGGCCAGACACCCTGCCCCAATACCTCTCCTTTACCCTTCCTCCTAGCCAGACACCCTGCCCCAAATCTCCTCCTGCAGCCTCCCTCTTGGCCAGACACCCTGTCACAAGACCCCTCCTCTACCCTCCCTTCCTCCTGGCCAGACACATGACCTTATTTAGCATTTGTTAACTATTATCCTTACTTTTTTGTGGACTACGTTTGTAGACTGTTATTAGGGCAGTCTTCCTGGGGGCGGGGGGGTTGTGGTGTATTTCGATCCCTCAGGTCTCCCAGGTCTGGTGGGTTTATTTTATTTTTTTTGCTCAAAAAAAAATCTTGGCGTTCCCTATAAAAAAAAAAGTATTGTTTGGTGTTCCTCAGTCTTAAAAGGTTTAAGAAACACTGATCTAGAGTTAAAGTTGCAGTTTGTATATACTTTGTTGAATAATACATTGTTAAATTTGTTTAAAACTAAGGATCTAGAATTTCTGCCTTCATTACAAAATACAATACTTACCCTGCCTACATTAAGAAATCTTTACAGTTGTTGTATTGAATTACATTTTTTCAGATTGCAGCTGGGGCAACAGAGGTATCAGTATTTGGTGCAGCATCTGAATCTTTCAGCAAAATGAATATTAATTGTTCCATAGAGGAAAGCATGGGAAAATTTGAAGAAGTTACTAAATCAGCAAGAAATATGAATATTCCAGTGCGAGGGTAATTATAAAGCTTCACGTGTAAACTTAATTTATGTATTGCAGTTTGCAATGTAACTTAATAGTTGTGTTGCTATTGATTAACAAACAGAAATTGTTGTTTGACACTATCAAATTATATGCATTTTAAGTAACTTTAATAGTATTCATTGTGTGACAATATTTTCTAAAAGTTCAAACATTTTTACATTTTAGCTTTTTACATTTTAGCAACTATTCAAAAATGTTGCTTTATTCAGAAACGCAAAAAATAATCATATGTATTAGTTTATATCCTTTTTTATCAATGCTGTTGCCACAAGTCAGAGAATAACATTTGGTATGTGCTATTACATACAGTGACCAGTCATAATAACTCACATATTGTTTTTCTGAGTCCTCAAAACAAAATAGGTGAGCTTTTACATTTTAATACTTGGTGGAAGTGAATCAACATATAGAAGTTACATGATACATTTCCTCCAGCAGAAAAACTCATGAGAAGGAGAAAAGTTACTCTGCACACAGGGGTTGAAACTTGCAGAGCTTCCAATCCATCATGCTCTTGACCTCTCAAGTATACTCATTTCTCCAGAATAACTCCTTTCCAGGGAAATTTTGAATATAAAGCTACAGGCCTCTTAACCATGCTTGCTTCCCCATTACATCTCATCTGTCAGGATTCTCTCAATCCACCCCAAAACAAAGCAAGTCTGCTGACCAGAGAAAGTCATCATAATCCTCCCATCCAATAGTGACCTGTATCCTGTCCTGTGCTATTCCACCATATCTATAGAGTCACTGAATGAAATGTTTATAGCTAGAACCCTGCAAATCCAAAGATATATAAGAAATATCCATAGATATCTGCATCTGTGGATGTAGATGCAGATATCCGCAGTTCATTTTTGAAGAGGATGTGGATACAAATTTTCTGTCTAGAATCCTGGAGATTTGTGGATTCTGTGGGTATCAGCATCCACGACTGTGGATGTGGATATTTACAGCTCATTTTTGCAGATACAGATGCAGATACAAGATTTGTAGCCATGCAGGGCTCTATTTATAGAAAGATTTTAAATCTCAAATAGAAAATACCATGCTAATAGTGAGAGGCTTCCATGTCTTCTCAGTGAGGAATTTTATAGATGGAGAAATTGATATTTATATCTACTCTTTGTTTCCTATCTTTTAACCAGTTACCAGTCCATGAGAGGACCTTCCCTCTTATGACAGCTTAATTTGGTTAAGAGCCTTTAGTGAGGTATCTTATCAAAGGCTTTCTGGAAATCTAAGTACACTATATCCAGTGGATTCCCCTTTTTCCTCATGCTTGCTGCCCCCCTTAAAGAATTTTAGTAGATCAGTGAGTCATGATTTCCCTTTACAAAAGCTATGTTGATTCTTCCCCAAGAAATTATGTTCATTTTTGTGTCTGACAATATTATTCTTCACTATAGTCTCAAACAGTTTGCCAAGTACTGAAGTCAGGCTTACCAGCCTATAATTGTTGGGATCACCTTGAGAGCCCTTTTTAAAAAGTAGCATCACATGCGCTATCTTTCAGCCATTTAGTTTAGAAGTTGATTGAAATGATAGGTTACAAACCACAGTGAGGAGTGCTGCAATTTTACATTTGAATTGCTTCAGAACTCCTCAGTAAATACCATCTGGTCCTGATGACTTATTACTGTTTAATTTATCAAATTCTTCCAATAGCGTGTTTTTCTCTATTTGGAATGTAAAGTCTTGCTATAAATATTGCATTCAGTTAATGTATAGATATGGTGGAATATAGGCACAGAGCAGGAAACAGGTCACCATCTGTGTCGGGTGTGGGCCTTGTCCCTTTTAATAACAAAGGGAGAGGAGTATGCCCTGGTGAACTGAGTTAAGAGGACAAATGATATCAAATCTGTATGGTTGCAAATGGACTGAATAAAATCTAGCGTTAAAGGTGGCAACTAGGGGTCATATTATTTAATAACTGGTAGATATTGAGATTCAAAAAGTTAAAGGTTTATAACAGTGATGGTTCCCAACCACTGGTCCATGGACCGGTGCTGGGTTGCGAACTGCTATCTGCCAGGCTGGGGCACACTTCCAGACCATGCCAATACCTTGATGATTGTCTCTGCAAGAATCTAAGTTCCCTGTAAGCTGCACAGCAGTGGGGCTACACAGCTGTTAATTGAGCACACTCACCCTTACCCCCCTCTGTAGAGGTTTAGGGCTACCATGCAGAGAGCTTCCTGACTGGGGAGGGTCATTCCCTCAGCAGCAACAGCTCCCTGCTCCAGACAACAAGCTTGCTTGTAGGGAAGGAGCCATAAAGAGGGAGGAAGGGAGTAAGTACATGGCTGGGATGGGAAGGGGCCCAAGAGGAGGGGAGTTTGGAGCATACAGTAAGTACAGGAGAGGAGCGGCTTGATTACAGCAATCTGATTAAAGCTGCTTTCTGGTCTGGGAGAGAGGCAGCAGATTGCATGGGGTAGGTTGGGGAAACAGGGGGCTGTTCTGGTGTCTGTGCAATGAGATGGGGACAGAGGGGAGTTTGGGTGTCTTAACTTGTTTCCTTCTGGGGTGCAGGCAGCAAGAGTCAAACCCTGTCTGTCTCAGCACAGCAACTCTACCTGGGCTGCAGATATAGGACTCTCTCTTGGGCTGGGGCAGGCTGTATGGGGCAGTACCAAAAATGTCAGGTGGTTTAAAAGCTTTTAGGTTTCTTTTCGATACTGGAACAAAAGGCCTAGCTCATTACAGTTGCATGATTACATTTAAAAAAAAATTACACAGCCTCAGAGGGGTAGCCGAGTTAGTCTGTACCAGAAAAAAACTTAAAAAACAACTAATTGTATGGTAGCACCTTAAAAACTAACAAAACATGTAGATGGTGGTATGAGCTTTCATGGGCAAAACCCACTTCTTCAGCTGACCAGAATATAATAAGTCCAGATCCAAGAATAAATAAGGGAAGGGGAAGAGGGGAGGAAAAAGGGGAGGGGAGGAAGAAAAAGAGAAACAGTGAGTAGATAGCTTCAGGGGGTAGTCGAGTTAGTCTGTACAGGATAAACTTAAAAAACAAGAAATGGTCTGGTAGCACTTTATAGACTAAGAAAACATGTAGATGTTATCATGAGCTTTTGTGGGCACAGCCCACTTCTTCAGATGACTGGAGTTTTGAGTTTAGGATGTGCAGACCCAAAATAAATAGATAGGGGAGGAAGGAGAGGGGTGGGGGAAGGGAAAAAAATGGAAGGGAAACAAGGAGCAGAGGATATGAAAATATCAAAGGGAAAACCAAATAGGCAGAACTGGTAAACTATAAGCACCTAAAGATTGGATAGTTAAAAGAAGCAGATAAGGATCATAGGATAGCAATTAGAAAGGAAGAGTAGATATTTCAGAAAGTTACATCAGGTGTTAATGGATTAAGATAAGAAAGGAAAAGATTATTTTATTTTAGTGTTGTAGATATCTGCAAACTCTGATCCCTTACAACCACATGTATTGTATGCATACAGATGTGATATAAAATAACATGTGACCTCTTAAATTAATTATAATAATGAATATGCAAATAAAATCTTACTGGTCGGCCAAAAGTATGTGAATGGTGTTGCCAGTCTGTGGTATGAAAAAGCTTGAGAAACACTGGTTTATAACCATTAATACAAATATTTGTCAACATTACATGCAAATTATATGAAGTAAATAGCCTTAAACTCAAGTTCTCAAGAAACATTTTCCTTACTTTTTCTGCTTGTAAATATCTGTTATCAATGGAAATACAGTTTTATGGTGTGTGTGTAGTAGACGTATAAATTTATCAACAAATCTAACCCTTCCAAACCTATTTTTATTCTAAACACTTATTTGTTATCTTGTATTATTTTTGTAACTTTTCTATTGTCTTCTTTAGATATTAATTGCTTAGAATTCTATTAATTTTTATTTTGCCATGTTAAGTTGCTATTCTTTCTATATGGCTCTTTTCTTCTGACTATCTTAAAAGCGGTTAGTCACACTCTTGGGTGAAGTGGGAGGGTTGCTTCCAAATATCTCTCATGGGACTTGGATGCCTGGAAAACTGATCGTGTCAGAATAAGCCTGAATACAAAAAGAGTATCAGGGAAAGGAATACATAGTTGATCTATGGGATAAACTTTGAAGACAGTGGCATTGAAGCTCAAATAGTGATATCCTCACTGTGGTGGGGTGCAGAGTGAACTCAAAGTTTGTAGTGGGTTTCTATCTGCTCCTCATTAGCTTGCACATGTTTAATAATGTTGCAACCTACTGCATTTTCCACATATGGTATATCTGGACTCCTTGATGTGCCATCAGCAATTGTGTTGGTGGTATTTTTACTGACGTATAATAGTGCTAAGCTGTTCCAATAGTGTATTTATTATCTACTGAATTACATTTTTACCCACCCAGCAGGAAAAGTGAGGAACAGAAGGAGGTGTGAGGATAGAGAGAAGGAAGAAGGAATTAAGATTGAAAAGCAGACATAGATGAGTAGGCTAGAAAAACTGGAATACTAAAGAAGTTAAGTATGGAATAATGGGGGAGAAGGAACTGAAGTACAGGTTGCACTTCTATAATCTGGGACAAGAGAGTTTTGGCGCGCTATAGGGAGGAAGGGGGGCAGGGAGCTAGGTGCATGGCCCAGCTGAGCTGCGGACAAGCGGGGGAGGAGCCTGACAATATAGCCTATCTGGGAAGGGGGAGCGGAAAGCTGCCATGCTGCTGGGTGCAGGTAGGAGCCAGGAAGCCCAGCATGCAACTCAGCTGGGCTGCTGGAGGGGCCGGGAGCCAGGAACCGGGAAGCCCAGCATGAGGCTCAACTGGGTTGCCTGGAAGAGCTGGGAAGTCTGGGGTGCAGGGTGGGGTGTGTGGCAGCAGGGGGTGAAAAATGACCTCCCCCTGGTCCTGCAAAATCCCTCATATGGGACCAGTCAGGTCCCAGGACCAGGGAGGTCCAACCTACATAAGAGTAGGCAGGGTAGGAGGGAG